ATCTTCTCCACAGTCGGTGCACCGTGGACGCACAAAGGTGTGTATCAGCTGCGATTTGACGTATGGACCAACCTGCCCTTTTCAGTCCGATCACCATGCCCCTCGTAAAAGCGTCTGTCTGCTTGAACTGCCTCCGTTTACGATGACCTGGCATTCTCTGTTATTACACGTGTATTTTGACACAAGAACAAAATTTCTACAATGATTTTCCTTGAAGAAATAACGACACGAATACTGTCCTTTCTGCAAGTTCCTTCCCTTATATCTTACTCCATGTGCGCACGAGGGCTGCGCATTTTACATCATTTGCATAACTCGGTTAGGCTTATCTACCCTGAAATTTGCATAATTTTCTGGCCCCTATTTCTTGGTGTTCCATTTTCAATGTCACGCAGTGTACATTCTAAACTTTCTACAAAATCTGGACCTCTAATGTTTTCATGCGTTGAATAATGTAAATAACTTATGTAAATAAACCTTTTCTCCTTGTTTGGCGCAAGTATCCCTTGCGGGATATAGCGCTTTGGAAATAAAATAATTGGTAATTGGTAATAAAAAGATAATGGAGAGAGATCATATAGAATTTTGAAGTTATATCTATGCAAATATAGGATATATAATCTCTCTTAGTTGCCTTTTGAAGTCTTAGTTTGCTGAGGAAGAGTTTGCCCAAAATCTACTTTACACAATTAATAACAATAGTTGCGGCATCTTCTACCTTTTTGTTTAATTTCAAAAAGAATCTTACGCGTCTAAAATAGTTTCTAATTTTCATAACAGATGGCGCGCTAGTGCATCCTAATATAAATGTTCTCATAAAAAGACTCAATTTGATATTTGCGGAAGAGCGATTGCTTGATGCATATTAAATATCTATAATTATATGTAATTCTACTGTCCTCAAAGCTTATGTCCATAGTTCATCTAAAATACCCATTCCAAGAGTCTAGCAACAGTATCAATATAAAAGGAAAATCGAAAAATGAATATAACAGCGGTATGGTAGATTAAACTGGCTAAACCGCTGGGAGGGTTCACCACTGATGAGCCAGGCCCTTCCATTAATTTTTCCATTGCAGTAAGGGTAGTAGAAATTGTTTAATTTCAAAAAGAATCTTACGCGTCTATAATAGTTTCTAATTTTCATACATTTTTGTAAATGATCAAACAATGAAGCTAAGAATAATCAAGATAAGGATAGTGTATTGAAGTTTTTCAGATAATAGAAGAGGAAAACTATCAAATTCCCAAACAAAATATTTTCTCCACCAAATAATCTTTTGATAGCTAAAGTAGAGAAGAATGTTTTCCCAAATTAATATTTCCCACAAATAAAACTCTTTCGTCAACTTTTGGCAGAGAGGAAATTTTATTTTGTTTTTTTTTTATCCCGGTGAGCTTTCTCCCAAAAGTTTGCCAAAAACGCTGATTCCATTTTAGGGAATGGTTGCTAGGCGACATGGACTGATGTAATTTGATAAGTAATGAAATCCTAATTTCACTAACTTGCCTTTGTCAGTCTAACTTTGGGCACCTTTCAACGACCATTCTGAAATCCTTTTGAAAGATCAGATTTCATAAATGAATTAAATGTCGTTTTTTTGAAGAGTTTCTTGATGATTTTTTTATTATTAAATTATATATATTTCGTCGTTATCTTCTTTTTTTATATATAATGGAAGATTCTGGTATGTAATTCTTGTGTTATTTGGCTTGATCATCTAAACAATAATTTGGACGATGATCCCCGATAATATATATCAATGAAACAAGAAGATTTAGAAGAAGAAAAGGTGAAAATAGTACAAAAGTGAATTTATACTTGGATCATGTGGATAAATAAAGAAAAAAAGGCATCTCCTGCTCGTGCAGCTAAAGGTTGCTGATAGCTTGCGCCATCTTTAGGAATAATTATCAACTAATCGTTGATTTTTTAATTATTCCAGAATTGGACAAATACGTGGTTAAATTTTCTTGATTTTTTTAAATTTTATTTATTATTATTATTTTTAAATTTTATTAGTACAGAAGCACGAAGTCTATCAGACTATATTGTGCTATATTATAATTATTTACATATATATCTTTAACACAAAGCACTAACGCGCCATCTATACATATAAAATAAAAGGATTTAAAAGCACGAATGTTTCTTTTATACATAAAACGAACTTCTACTGTCCTTACTGCGATGAAAAAATATATTGGGAGGGCTTGGCTCATCAGTGATGAACCCTCCCAGCGGTTTCGCCAATTTAATCCACCAGACCGCTTCTCGGAGCTCTAATACTGTATTGGATCATCCTGCTTTTATATGCTACACTGAGGGATAGAATCTTAGAAATGGTTTTCAAGTAAACTATGGACATAAGCTTATATTATATTATATCCATCCTTCAGTGTAGCATATAAAAGCAGAATGATCCAATACAGTATTAGAGCTCTGAGAAGCGGTCTGGTGGATTAAATTGGCGAAACCGCTGGGAGGGTTCACCACTGATGAGCCAAGCCCTCCCAATATATTTTTTCATCGCAGTAAGGACAGTAGAAGTTCGTTTTATGTATAAAAGAAACATTCGTGCTTTTAAATCCTTTTATTTTATATGTATAGATGGCGCGTTATTGCTTTGTGTTAATTTATTCCTAATTGGCCTTGTCTTTATAGTTTGCTGAAGAGCATTGCTCGAAGCAAATATTTGAATATAATTCTACTGTCCTATAAGCTTATGTCCATAGTTTACTTGAAAACCATTTCTAAGATTCCATCCTTCAGTGTAGCATATAAAAGCAGAATGATCCAATACAGTATTAGAGCTCTGAGAAGCGGTCTGGTGGATTAAATTGGCGAAACCGCTGGGAGGGTTTACCATTGATGAGCCAAGCCCTCCCAATATATTTTTTCATCGCAGTAAGGACAGTAGAAGTTCGTTTTATGTATAAAAGAAACATTCGTGCTTTTAAATCCTTTTATTTTATATATATATATCTTTAATTATTTACACGATGAATTAGTAGTGATTTATAAATCTGTGTACAAATAGCTCTAAACTTACCAAAGTTTTAATGAGATTGAGTATATATAGAAAGATGATTTGGCATTATGTCAAAGTAAGCAAGTACAATTTGGTTAGTTAGAGGGCAAGCCAACAACTGTTGTTTCAACATCTAGACAGCATTCACATGTTGGATCATTTGTAATTCTCAAGTCAAAGAGAAAACTTATGTTTAATCAAGAAAAGGTATTTGGCTAATTCTGGAATAAATAAAAATCAACGATTAGTTTATTTATTCCGATAGATGGCGCAAGCCATCAGCAACTTTTAGTTGCACGATTGATTGCAAGATGCCTTTTTTTTTCTTTATTTGAAGGAAGAGTTTCTTTCATTGAAATTTCAAACTCACAAAATAACCGAAGTATCGTTCCTTCAACAGGTGTAAGGATTGAAGTTCTAAAGATATTGTAGCGAAGTATTTATCATTTTACGAGCATTTAATTTTTTACACTAGTATTAACTAAGTATCATTTTTTATGTTTATATTTTACTACTCTGTAAACTTCCCTCATTCCATATCTTTTGTTTATCCTTCATAGTTTATTCTTGCCTTAAATAAATTGTTGTTTCATCCCGAAGTTGGTCATCCCTAATTTTCCACTTAGCATTTTGGTGGAGACCCTGGGTAAGTTGGGGAAGACAAACTGAAGATCTTCGAGAAGAATTTAAAGCCATGGATGGTGTGATCTACATTTTTAGAGACTGGCTCCAGGATTCCACCGCCGTGTCAAAGCCAAGACTTCCCTCCAAGATGACGATGTCCCTATAGACGATACGACGCAAAGCCGCTCTTCACGCCGTAAGAAAAAGGGCGCAAAGGTACTAGGGACAAAGTTCCATGACTTCGATGGAATCCTTGGCAGAAGCACGTTAGATCCATGTTAGTATCTACAATAATTGCAGGTTGTGGGTCACAGCTCTCATAAAGAAGGAGCTATGTCGCGAAGTATTTATCATTTTACAAGCATTTATTATTTTAAACTATTATTAACAGAGTATCATTTTTTTATGTTTATATTTTGCTACTCTGTAAACTTCTCTCATTCATTAACTTTAATTTATCCTTCATAGTTTGTTCTTGCCTTAAATAAATTGCTGTCTCAGCCCGAAGTTGGTTTTCCCTAATTTTCCACGTGGCAATATGCTTATATGTACCTCATTGTAATTTGCATAAACCTCATTGATTTCGTAGTTGTAAGAGAAACTCCCGAGAAGTAAAGATTCCCAAATTATATAATATTTCAAATTAACGTTGTTTTAGTGTGTATAAGGAGATATTTGTTTGAAGTAAAATTTGCAATCGACTTTCTAAAGTCAACGAACGCTAGTTCCTACTTTAAAAGTCAGGGGAGCTCTATCCTAACTTGATAAAGAGGTTAAATCTCCTGTGTCTTCCTAAGCAGGTAAAGGTTTGTGTTCTTTAACTCTTGTACCTTGTTAGTCTACCTCTGAAATTTTTACCATATTGACTGAATATACTTTGTAGTGATGGTGATTCCCATTTGTATCGGGTAAATATACTAGCATTGTTAATGTGTGCTCTTTTCAAATCTAATGAATGAACTCAATTTTTTGAAGATTTTATTTTTCGTATTTAATACTTGTAGTATATATATCAGGATATCCACAACACACCTACAAATCGCAAAACTCAAATCCCACCAGTGAGTGAAAGTAACAAGTAGATACTTTTATATCTGGAAAGTTTTTTTATTTGTTTGTTTATCTCTAGTACACATGGTACAGACCATCATAATCATGGTGGGTAGAAGTAGGCGACATCTTTTACTCTAAGTGCACCACATGTCTACACAAGTGAAAAGCAGTTCGACTTTGCACTTATAAATATGCCAGAGACCCGTTTGTTTACTTGCACTCGCTCGTGGGGTTGAACTTTTGAAAGAATCGGAGGCCATCCTAGCATTTTTTTATTATCAGAAAAAAAAGTGCCCAATGCGGGAATCGAACTCGGGTCATAGCGTCGAAAACCAACGGTGTTTAGACCATCCTTCAACCAACCAACCGTTGAAATATGTAAAACTAGACGAATGACCCGGGCAACGCCCGGGTTTACCCGATTAAATGTTTTATTCAAACACTATTCGTTACAATTATAAATTGGCGCCGTGGATGTCACTCTTGTGAAACGTCCCGCTCCAAACTTTACATGTACATTAGGTCAGCTGATATTACCTCCCATCTTCACCGCTTTTTTTTTTTTTATTATAACCATCATCCTCATTATTAGTGCGGACTGTGCACTTTACATGTATTGACAGGATGTCAATAAAAATATGTCAATTGTCAAATTGTCTTCACCGCTAGAGGCGCTGCTCGCGAGCAAAAGGGCAAACTCGACGAATATTCGGGATAGAGACCTGAAAATTTCACTATAAGTTTTTCCAGATTCTACTCTATATACTGTTAAAATTTCAGTCAGATTAGTTACGATATAAATCTTCAAATCGAGCGAGCGTCTATAAATATTTCGATTTAGATAAAAGTATTCTAATTATTATAAGCGAACTATTATTAATACAATTTTGAGAAGATTTCGATTTTAAACGTATTTATAACCTTGATAGAGGGCGCTGTTCGTGAGCTAAACAGAATAATTTGAATATATAGTTTTAATATTTAATTTATATATAATTTAAAATAGCCTATCGTTTTCCTCGTATTTTTTTTTTTACCTATGTATGGAAATTTTGGTACTGTAAAAAAAAAAAAAAAACTTTGCTTCAATAATATTTAAAAAAAAAACACCAGGCTAAGTTTCGAACCAAGGTTGTGGAAATACCAAGCCGCACACCTAACCATTAAGCTACGCTTGGCATCATAAATTTTCGCATGTAAAGCTATTTCAGGCCTTACATATTTCTAACGACCTTTTTGAAATAGGTTTTTGAAACATGGAAATTATAATACTTCAAATAAATAGAAATAGAGTGAACACAAATAGAACATACCAAATATTTCGAATTAGAGCAGTTATTTTAAACGGCGAATTAGATCAGGTATTTCTAAAAATGAAAATATATAAATAAATAAAACATACCAAATATTTCAAGAGCAGTTATTTTAAACGGCGAATTAGATCAGTTATATCTAAAAATTAAAATATATAAATAAATAAAACCTACCAAATATTTCAAATTAGAGCAGTTATTATATAAATATTTATATTATATGTGTTATTAAGCGAACTATTATTAATAAAATATTGATTAGATTTAGATTTTAAACCTATTTATAACCTTTTAGTACTTGATAGAGGGCGCTGTTCGTGAGCTAAGTAGAATAATTTGAATATATAGTTTTAATAATTGATTTATATATATTTTTAAAATAGCCTATCGTCTTCCCCGTTATTTGTTACCTATGTACGGAAATTTTGGATTGAATTAGTGAACTACTGCGAATTTGTATACAGGACATACAAACAAACACACAAACATTCATTTTTATATATATAGATATTGCAGCAGGTAGGCTAAAAAGGCAGGTGATATCCGAGAGGAAAATCTGAAAGATTGATTTATTTTCCAGCAATCGTATAAGGCACGCACTGGTACTTGATTTGGCGTGTTCTTCATGTTTTCTCCGGGAAGTCCCCACAATAGCAATTTACTTCTCCCGCGTGCGCCATTCACTTTATGTGAACTGTACAGCTTAGAGAGGTCCACCTAGTAGAGTCGTAGTGTACTTTATCTTGGTTGTTTGTTACCTCATCGATAAACTCTCTCCTTCTGTCTACATAACTGTCTTTCAGGGTTGTCTGGTAATTATCTAATTTGGTACTTCCATCTACACTTCTGATTCTTCCCCTATATCTATCTTTACACCATAGTAATACCTTGGATTCATTTGATGAACCAATAAAAAAAATGTGCAAAGAGTTTCTTTTTAAATAAAATGATACTACTACTAATAATAATAAATTGATATATTTATAATAAATAAATTATTTGTAAATCTTTGTTTATCAAGTATAATTATTCTTAAATATATTTTAACTACGAATTGCTACCTCTCGAATATTAAACCATTATAGATTGACAGCTAAAGATCAATTGTATATACACTCATTTACAAAACTTAAGGAAGTGGAAAATCTTTTATATCGCCCGACGTCTGTCTTTTTAAAAAGACAGAGGCTATTTTGTTCCTACTTGGTTATCTCGTGTCTTCAATAAAGGTCACTATAATATCTTTCAGAGTTATTGTCTGAATCCCAATATACATGCTAAAAGGTACATAATTCTTAAGTTCCATGAATATAGAAACATGCTAACCTTCAAACATTTCTCATTCGATGTTTCGGCGATCCACTATTGCATTTTCAAGGCAGAAAATTTGGCATGTCAACTTCGTGTTGAGATTTCTACCTTGAAAGGTTCGTCGGTGAGTAGATGAAAAGTCAGGTAATAAGTTTCGATGTGTTTCTATCTGTAATTGAACGCTTTGAACAATCACGTTTTTCAAGCGTTCACCTAATCTTATGATGAAATTACTATAGCAATTCAAAAGGGATAGCTCAGAGAGAGATTGCACTGTATCACTATAGCCAAGTATATTTGACTACATTTAAGAATCATACACGTGAAAATAGTTCAAATGTCTTCTAACAAATGTAGCGTTAATTCATCATGTTTATACTAAGTCTAAACATCTATATTTGTTGCTTGCGGAAGAGCAGAGCTCGAAGAATGTTTATCAAATTATAATTACTTGTTTTCTCCTGTCCTCAAACACTATGTCTTTATAGTTGTTTCAAATAGCTTTTTCCAATAGTTTAGGTTTAGTATTGGTATAAAATCAAAACAACAAAATAAAACAATAGAGTGGTATGGTAGATTAAACTGACAAAACCGCTGGGAGAGATCATCACTGATAAACCAGGCCCTCCCATTATTTTATCATTGGAGTAAAGACTTTAGAAAATGTTTCAATTGACATACACGTCATAAATAGTTAAATATTTCTATAAATGATGGCGTTCTAATGTATCATGTGTTAATACATTTCAGAATATTCGATAGTGGTTTTAATTAATGTGATTTCTACCAATATAATGCCATGATGACAAAGAAACTCACATTTAATAAAAACTAATCATTTAGAAATTAATATGTTTATGGATAATATATTTGAATATAAGGGACGGTGAGTCGACGAGAGAAAAATGATGGTTGATGTATCTATGTCATTTTAAACTAAAACTTTACTAAGTATTAAAAGCCGTCCTGCTAGATTTGTTATAGAACGAGCTGTCGTCTAAATAGTTAATAAAAGGACTATCATAATATCATAGAAAAATATTTATCATTCTATTTACAAATTACAAAATTTTACTACTCAGTAAAACTACCCTCATTGCCTCTCTTATATTTTAAATTTTGTTTTACATCAAATAAATTGCTGTGTCATTCTGAAGTTTGTCTTTCCTATTTTTGCGTTATACATTGTTGTAGATGCTAGGTAGATTAGCGAAGACAAAATGAAGATTGCTCAGCAGACCTTGAGGCAATGGGAACTGTAAAATACATTTTACTCGACCGACTCTTGATTTCCATCGCCGCGTCAAGCCAAATTTTCCTTTCTAAAAGTCGATGATTCTCTTGACGATTCGAAGAAAAAGCTGCCCTTGACCCCCCAAGAAAATGAACATTTCATGTTTGTCTTTCCTAATTTTCTCTACGTTATAATTTTGATACTTTAATTTTTTTCTTCCCATTGAATATAACAATTTATTTTAAAACTTAATTCTGTTGACGTTATGTGGCGCTGAGTTTGTTGTTGACACATTTCAAATATGTTTTAACACCTTGATAAAGGTTGGCGTTCAGCCAACTGAAATATTGGTAAAATAAATGATTTTTTGATTCAATATATGTCTTTTTAATTAAAGATTTGTTCATGGATTGCTCTATTTTCAAATATATTTTGATACTGTATTACAGAATCGAACCCGCCTCCATCTAGCTAATAGAAGTAGCAAGTCAAGACTTTCCAAGAGACGCAATTGTGGTGGCAGAATGTAGAAAAGGTCTATTGCTGGAGAGAGTAAAAAAGACTACATCCTCTGTCAATTCACTTTCCAGTAGCAGAGGTAAACTTTGGATGGTAAATTGGAGTCCATATCCGAAGCTAATCCCACAGGATGCAGGTAGCCGATAGGGTCGTCATCGATATAGTCAGCTTTGTGCTCTAACTGATGGTAATCAAGTTGAAAAAGCGGTCAAAAATTCTGAGGACCAAAAATTTCAGAATTTTTCAAATGACTCAATGAATTTCATAAGAAATAGCCAACAATTTAATTTAAAAAATAGTTTAGGAAACAGAAGTATCTCTGGTGCTGAATCGGAACAATATGAACTTTTTAAAGAAATTTTGTACAAAAATAATTTCGATCCCCTAGGAAACCAATACCGTCTTGTTATTCCATAGGAAATGCACTTAGAACTGCTAGAGGTATACACGACGCTCCTATAGCAGATCATCTTGAATTTTCGAAGACCTATGAGAAGTTAAAAACAAATACTCTTCTGTACAGTACTTATCAGAGACATACGGAGGTGAGACTGGAAATTTAAAAAAGGATCATAAGACGCCGTGCAACTCTTTTTTTATTCACTTGATTAAAGAAGGCTTTCGGGAAAGCCCTTCTTCAGCTAACTAAAACGTATCACGTTTACGTTTTGCGACCTATATTGTAATATGTTTTGTTTATTATTATTATTGAAGAAAGATATATCTCTATAAAATACTTATTTTATTTAAAGTGCAACATACCTAATATTATACATTTTCTGACTTATTTTACATATTTATAAAACAATAATAACATTCGTCAATGGTCAAATCTATTTAAAGCATTTATATTATATTACACTTGTGATTTTATTTTTGTATAATTGTTGAAATCCGCAATCCTTTAATTCTTTATGTCACCTTTTTTCCTATAACATAGCCAAACAGGACACAACAGACCTCACCCCATTTAAACTGGTTCATGGAAGTG